AGCCCGGGGTCGTCACATGTGGTCGCCACTCCTTCGTGGAATTCGCTGGGCGCACCGTTCTCGACCCCGCCGCCTTTGCTCACTCTAGCCCGGCCTCAGCTCACGCTAAGCCACGGCTTCCGCTCACGCTAGGCCGCGTGTTTTTCGTTGTGAAAGCGAAACTACTTTGTTTGGTCTTCCAAAAATGGACACGACTAGAAATCAGTGGTTAAGTTGTATTTACAACACTGTTCCAGAATAGTTCAACCCAAATATTCAGATGTGTGCAGTGCATTTTATGGAGGACTGTTTCCTGATTCTGGTAGAGTAGACTACAATGCCGGTTGTTCTGACTCACAGACTGTAAGTACGTTTTTTATATTTAATTAGTTTTTATATTTTATATATTTAAAGCGAGTTTTTTGAGCAGTGTAGAGTAGTACTTGTTGTTTGTCATTTCTCCGATCACAAATGCAGACATGGTTTGTGGATATGTTTACGTGGCGCGATGCAACGCAACGTGTAAAAAGACAGTATAAGTCATTATAATCCGTAATTATGTCCCCACTGGATGCAACAAATGCCTCGTTTGTAATGGGTTTTAATGTTTTTGTCTCGTCGCTCCGGCCGGACAGGGCATCACAATATGGTAGGGGCGTAACATTTCCGTCACACGCTTGAGGTATTCGGCCAGTCACAACGCACTGGATAGCTGGCCAATCAGAGCACACCTCGCTTTTCAGACCGATGAGCTTTGTAAAAATCGACGCGTTTCAGAAAGGCGGGGCATAGAGGAGAAACAATAATGTACAGTATGTGGAAAATAATGTGTTTTTTGAACCTTAAACCGCATAAACACATTTCATTACACCAAATACATCAAATAATGTTCTTTTTAGCAGCATCATATGACCCCTTTAAAAAGTTATGCTGATAATATAATTTGTAATAAAAATAAATTCATTTTCATTATGGGTCTCAGACTTTTGGATACCACGGTAGCTTTAGATCCCTAAGAACAATGGCACATGCAGTAACAAATGCCCTTCTCGCTCCTTTTCTCATACAGACACATGCAGTCATATGCATATTTATATTCTCCATCTGTCGTGCATGATAACGCATGTGGTTTTGTGACATGGTTCTATCTGACACAAGGTCACACATTTCTTTCTACCCACAAACCTCCTGCACGCTTCACATGGGAAGTAGCATCTAGTGTGGTATTAAGCCACTTCCTCCGTGCAACAACTATCTGGAAGAGACAGACACTGCTGAAAGAAATACAGCCACACCCACTCAATACAACACGTGCGTTTGACCAGGCAAAACACTCTGAATCATATAAATGATGCTATACTTGTGCTTATGTAACTATGCTCCCAAAGATCCTGGGTGAGGGTAAAATTATGTTTAGTGAGAGACGTAATTATTAAAGATGTTCAAATCTCATCTGATAAAACCGACAGAATCGCAGACATATATAAGAAATCAAACAGAAACACATAGCTACTCCTTTTACAGCAGTGCACAGGTGGAGAAAAATAGATTAGAAAAAGGGAAATACATAAGAGTTAAAATATGACAGTCCTCACCAGTTCAACTGATCCATAGTGTTTCCGGCTGAAATCTCCCCGCCTGCACCCAAGATCCTCTGATGCTGAGCTGCAAAACAGAGCACATGACCATTTAAACAGAATTCATTAAGTTTAATGGCACACGATCAGTTTTGCAATGCAGATCTTTTTATTCTCTTGGAAAGAATCAGCTGAAATATTTGTATATGTTATGCTTTTAAAACAACCATATTGTTAATGTGATTTCCTATTGAGAAACGCTTTGCTATCTGCCTCATCACCACATGTGAACACAGCATTCTAGTTTCAATACCAGAAAATTGCATTCCAAAAAGTAAAAGGCCCGCCCACTCACATCCCTGTGATGTCGCAGCCTGACACTTTTTGTAGTTTGTAGTTTAAGATTATTAGAGTGAGAACCACATGATCAGTGACTCAGCTGACAACTAGACACCTCAACACCTCAAAGAGGATCTCTCCCATTGCAACCACTTCACAGGAAGACCATAATGGCACTAAAGGTGTGTAATTTCTGTGCCACTAGCATCGCCAAATCAAATACCATGATAATGACGGTTTCAAACAGGTTGCCCAAATATTCCCCACCAGAGCTCAACAATGATGACCCACTAGACGGAACTATCACTTTCCCCATCAAGTCAATGCAGGTGCCTTTTTATAAGCAACAAAAAATGTGTACATTGTTTTCCAACAAAGGTGTGAGCACTGCTTTCATTTAGTGGCTTAAAGTGGTATAATTTCCAGCTATTATTGCGAATAAGAATTTTGATTTATATGTACCATAAGCTAGTATAAACAATTATATAAAATATATATATATAGTTCAGTCATGAAACTCTAGATAGCGCATTCTGACGGGGTGTTAACGTAACTGATGATATTCAGAGAGTTAAATGACTTGCCACAAGCTGATTGGTTCATGCTGCATATGCAGCCAATGAGCTTACTGCCTTGCATTTATATGGCTGCTAGCATTCACTTGAGATTCCTGCAGCGCGCTTTCAGAGTTACTCTGAAACTCAACAGCTAAGATAAGTAAACGGTTTTCACTCTGTTTTCTGTGCATTATTGCGTTCGTCAGATGTACATTTTTAAACTAGAAAACATACAAGTGTAAAACTACGTGCAGGTTATTCGCGTGAGGAGTAATTACTAAGCATGTATTGTTCATATAACAGCAGTGGCATTAGCAGCAGCAGCAAGCAGTTTTCCTAGTTCATGTATGTGAGAATACAACGTCAAGCGTCGCGGATTTTAGAACAGTAAAGTGAATTGGGGATTACCTTATTTGCCCGAAATCTCCAATGCTTTTTAATATCTTCTGTGGGCATTCATTTCTACATTAACCACATACGGATCGCTTCATATCACATCACTAGTGAGGTTGGTTTGTAGTTGGTGTTTCACAGTTGTTCACAGTTTTAAGTCAAGGTGAACCCGTATAACTGTCTTTCATAAACGTCATACTGTCAACAGCCTTACCTATTTTAATGAGCAACAGAAAATAATATACCAGCTCATACATGTACTTGCGCCACATTGCAATGCACTTAGTCAGAAGAGGGAGCGCTCATTCTTAAAGGGGCCACATCTCTATTTCACTCGTTACCTTGGTTCAGCGATAGTGAAGAGTTTATTATAAAAGTCATGTTTAGTGATAGTTTAAAGATAATTAATCATGAATTCGTTTAAAATATAAAGATACTTCTAATAATAAATCATTTCCAATCAGTAGCCTATGTACAATGTAGCTAATATTAGGACACTCTAAAACTGGAATTTACTATTTGTGTATTCAGTTTGGCTTACAGCAATTATAGTACTTTAATGGAGTGTAGCAGTAGTATCATAGAATTCAGATCACGTTATTAGCGAATTGTTAATTGCAGTATGAATAGCAAATCAAGTCAAATTATTAGTTGTTTATAGCAGCGACAGCAGGAAGTAGCCTATCTGGTTGCAACTTGCATGAAATTTCAGTGATAACACATGGGGTAAGTAACTCTTTTAAACAGAAATAGGCTTTTATAACTTCGTTTATTTACCAGGGCATACAGGGATTTTGTGAACTCTTCAAAGCAAAATAGGCATTATTTGTTTGCGTTTCATTGTTTAATAAAGATGCTTATAGTAATTCTAAGTACTTTCGTGCAGCTGTAGCAGCAGTATGCATAGCTATACAGATTGCAATTTTAGCGAATTTAATAGCAGCAGAATGGCATAGCAAATTCAGATGCATGTTAGAAATAATATTAGCAGCAGTCTGCATATCAACCAATTATTATTGTTACTTATTATTGCAAGGGCAGCAGAAAGTACTTTAGTTGCATGAAATTTCAGCGATAATGCATGGATGCGCTACAGCAATTCAAGTACTTTCACGGAGCAGCAGTATCCATAGAATTTCAGATTGCGTTATTAACGAATTATTAATAGCAGTATGCATAGCAAATCAAATTATGCATTTAGTAGCGGCAGCAGTAGGTAGACTGTAGTTTACATTTACATTTACATTCTTTATTCATTTTGAATAGTAAGTTGCTTTTAACCAACGCAACTTACAATTGCTGAAGTTTCAGTGACTTAAAATGGATGGTATGTGAACTCTTCAAGTGAATAGGCATCATTTGCGTTTCGTTTATTTAAAAGGGGCTTATAGCAATTCTAAGTACCTTTGTGCAGCTGTAGCAGCAGTATGCATAGTATTCAGGTCGAATGTAGCTAATTTAATAGCAGCAGATTGCATAGCAATTTCAATGTTAGAAACAATTTTAGCAGCAGGAAGTAAAATTATTGTTGCTAATATAGCAGCGGCAGCAGAAAGTACTTTAGTTGCTTGAAATTTCAGTGATAACGCATGGGGTAAGTAACTCTTTAAAGCGAAATAGGCATTTTATTTCTTTGCTTCTTTAACTGGGCTTACAGTAGATTTTGTGAACTCTTCAAAGCAAAATAGGCATTATTTGATTGCGTTTGCTTGTTAATAAAGACGCTTATAGCAATTCTAATACTTTTGTGCAGCTATAGCAGCATTATGCATTACATAGCTATTCAGATCACTAGTTTAGTGAATTTTAATAGCAGCAGCACGCATGGCAAAATTCAGATGCAATGTTAGAAATATTAGCAGCAGTCTGCATGGCAATCCAATTATCATTGTTGCTAATATAGCAGTGGCAGCATAAAGTACATTTAGTTGCATTACATTTCAGTGATAAGATAACGCTTGGATGTTAGTGAACTTTTTAGGTGAAATAGGCATTTTATTACTTTGCTATTCAGTTCAACAGGGTTTATAGAAATCTTCAAAGCGAGATAGGCATTATTTTGTGTTTGGTTATTTAATAAATGGGCAGTAGCAATTCTAAGTACTTTTGTGCAGCATTATGCATAGTTGGGTCTATTGATTTGGTCATATTGTGCCGCTCGTGTCTTGCGTAGACACCATGTTAGAGTGAAATAGGCATTCGATATAATAGAGTAAGGCATTCGCCTAGCTACTATTGAGGCAATAGAGGCTCAAGGCCATCTTGGAACGAGCCACGCATTTAGCAATGATGTGTGGATGCAAACATTATTGTCTCAATATGCAATATAAATATTTTAAATTATCAAAATAAATGGGCAGCTGCTTCCGAGGCAGAATTAGTCCTGGGCATATGACACCACAACTACAGGGTGTACAGTGATTTATTCTTTCGCCAAATATTTTGTTAGCTTATTAATAAGTTAAAGGTAAGTATTTCCACTGCAGTAACGTTGATGAACGTTAACGAAAAAAAAAAAAGAAAAAAAAAGATAATTCTTGAATGACAAATTTAATACTATTTGCTCAGGCCACCCGAGCCTGAGTCAGGTGGTTGCTGGTTGTTACTTCATCTATCAGCCTACAGTGTGATTCCTGTTTGTTAATGACACACACAGTACGCGTTTCTACCTAGGTAAGTTTGAGTTATTGGCTCAGACACACATAGTTATTTAGGTCATTAGTTAAATAAACCTAAGGGTACAGCACCCAGGTTCACATTGTTAAGCCACTAGTTAATTTATCTGGGCTCCATTAGCCCAGAAACACATTTAACTCAGGTCACTAGTTTAAGCTATCTGGTCAACCGATCAGGTACACACAGCAATAGTTCACTAGCGTTAAGCCATTCGGCAAAGCCGGCCCAGGCTCACATAGATAGCAAACACACGGTCTCACGGCTC